ATGCAGAGAAAAAAAAAAACATTTCTTATTCAGACCATTAAGTACTGCTAGTAAAAGGAAATGGAAATAACATGAAACAAAGAAATAAATCCTACCCTGAACACCCACTTTAGGTAAAAAGCTGAAGTCATTTTTCACCAACAGCAATTTGTTAGATAAAACCTGTTTTCACGGTCTTGAAGAGGAACTTTCCCTGACCTGAGTTTATGACTTTAAAGGTACATTTATTTGGCAAAAAGGCTGGCACAAAAACACCTTTATAGTAAGTACAAAAAATATATTTCACTAATGGTCAAGCTGCACATCAAGCAGCCAAAGCTAATAAATCTAAGCTTGTACTTACTCCATTTTTAAAATTCTTGTTATTGAAACCACCTAGCTAGCATGCCACTTTCACAAGTAGTAGTACCATAATAATTCAGACTAAACTGGTGTGACCAACCAGCTATGTATAAGCCACATGTGCTTGTACTGTCATAAAAACACAGCTCTCCAAATAACAATAAAAGCCAAGAAGAACAATTATCTACAAATCGAGTTGGGGGTGGGATTTGCTGCCTTGCAGTAAGGCGAGAACCCTTCCCCTTTGCGACTCCTGTAGGATGCAGGGCACCCTTCTGCCATTGAATGCCAGAGATGTTCCTGAGCAGCAGCACAGCACCCTCCATGCAAACCACTAGCTCCTGCTCCCAACTCAACAGGGGTAGGAAATAGAGAACATGAGATGACACAGGTGGAGTTAGACTGAGGCAGGAGGTGAAGCAGTTCAGATCATAGTGTAGAAAGGTAGGGGTGACAAAGCAAAAAAAGGAACAAGACATATAGTAGGAGAGCACTAGTGCCAGGAGCTTATGACAGATGCTACGGTATGCTTTTATGGCTGCTAAATTGTGAAAGGTTGGCCACTCCTGATCTCATATTTGCAGTCCATAATGAGATTAGGTAGGAATGGTAGCTACAAAAATTTGGATTTTTGTCAGTTTGTATCATGAATTTCATCTTAGTATCTGTATTCTTCCAGGCACTGATTCCATGACACTTTAGAAAAATCTGCCTGTGGAGTAATTTAACTAATCATGAAGTTAAACTCTTTAGAAAAGCTCTGACCCTTTGCAAGGAAGCTCTAATTAAACTAAATAGTTACTTTGAAAATACTAGCCCTAAGATTTCAGATAATATAGTGCGAAACCTAGCTAAAATGTGTTATTTCTTCATTCGGAAGTGCAGTGGAAGGTGCATCCTGACTACACTGCCAATCCGATAAATAAGAACCTCCTGTTAATGTCTGTGCCAGTTTAAGGCATCGCTGCTCCCTTTGGTGTTGGTTCATAGAAGTTTTGCCATTTTGCCTTATATTTGTACAAAGAAACAAATAAAAAATGAGTCTATACACACTTAAAATGTGGTTAAAATGCGGTTTGTTAGAATTAATATTTAGAGGAATACATTTCTCTTATCTCTTCTCAAACTACGTTTACATCAACTTAAGGAAGTGAGAAAAATGTAAGTAATCCGAACTAGTACTTAAAAACATTATTTCAGTTTACACGATCCAGAGGTTTAACTTTTGGTTCACAGTTCAAAATGTAAATGAACTCCTTATCATGAACTCAGTCCTGACCTTAAGAGCTTCGAAGATTAAATTTTGTAGTGTATTCTGCAATACGCATGTTACACGGTTCAATACTCTACCCAAACTGCTGACAATGTGATCAAAATCACATAACTCATGAGAAATAGATATAGAGTCCTTAAAATTACTTTTGTGCAAATGAAAACATACAGACTAAAAAGAAAAGGAGCTCCTATGATACTTCAAAAATTCTCACATTAATATTTAGTTGAAAGTGAAACATTTTTTGAAAGAATACAAACTAGCCCATTTCAGACTAATTGCTACCTTCCCTCTTTTAAAAGGAAAATTAAAGGTAAATTAAACTTTTTGACAATTTAGTTTCATTACCAGCCTTATGTTATGCCTATACCTCACAGATTCTCTCGTAGAGCTCCTTTGTCTGTTAAAAGACAGAGGTGACACAAACGCAAACTAGTAGCCAAATAATTTCTGTGAAATGCACTCACTTAGCTATAAGCACAGCTTCTCGGTCTGTCTTTGTTCATTCCCAGACCCACTCTTGTCAACGTACCCAATACAAATCATTAGTGAAGAACTAATTTTATTTTGTATTGCTACTATTCTTCTCACGCTCTTTCTTATTGGTCACACTTCATAGTAAGGTTTACTTCTTTTCAGTCCTTTGCGAAAATTGATGCAGTTCAGGTTTTTAACCTTGAATGAGCAAAAGTACCACTGGAAATTTTCAAATCAAGATGCAGGATTCTTTCTATTATCAATGGCATATAAATTTCTTTCCCTTAAAAAGAAATCTAGACAATTTTACAAGGAGAAACACCTTAGAAAACTCAAAGTATTTGTTTCTTTGAATACTGGGACTAACAAATTTTAGTACCTGAGGCAGGGAAACACAGCCAGAGCTGGCTCTCGGCGAGGCAAGACACTCACCAAAATGTAACAGAAATGGGATTGGTGAAATGGAGAACAGATGAGAACTAAACGAATAAACTCAAAGGAAGAAGAATATTTATAATTTTTAAAACCACCAGGGTTTCTCCATAAAACAGCAAGCGCTTGGACAGCTGCGATAAATACCATTTTAACAGCAACATGAGACGGTTTGGTTGTTCTGTGCTTTTTTTTCCTGGGGATCTTTATTATTACATGTTGCATGTATATTGACTCGTTAAACAGAACGAGTACCTTAATCTGTATGTTTAGACCAACTCAATGTCTTACATCAAAACCCTACCACTAATGGCATCTCATAATAGTCAACAGTAGCAAAACTCTCAACTTCCTCATGATGCCTTTAAATGCTGCTATGAACTATCTACAGTTATATTTACCATCACCTTTCCTCCTTGCCCATCTGTTTATATTTTAGATAATCCTGCAAACATATCTATACAGAGATATAAGAGAGCTATCTTATAAGCACCTTTATATGCTAGGGAGAAAGCTAAAAAATTTTATTTTGTTGCTTTTGCTTACACTAGTTTACCAAAAGGAATAAAACATATTGACAGAAAAACTTCTTGCCCTCTAAATTGACTGAAGTTAATTGGCAAAAATTTTAAGCGCCAACCAAGATTTTATGAGCTTAGAGATCTAAAACAGCCATACAGAGAAAGCAAAAAGAAATTTTGCCCTAACCAAGATACTTACGTCTTGACCAGGTATATCTTAAACAACACACACACTGGCAATTTCAGCCTCTTTACCTCATTGAGAAAAAGGTGCTATTCAACAAGATTCAAATCTATGAGTCTCACTAATGGAAACAGGAATCTGACAAGTCGTGCAGTTGGCCAAACTATTCATAAATTTGTCATCTTTTGTTGCAAAATGATATCAAAGTTGGGGGCAGGAATTAGATACATAGGTGTTCAAACATTCAAAATTGTATTTGCTGTTGACACTCCTATTTGATCTCCTGTAATAGGAAACATACGGAAGAGTAAAGTTCTGAAGAAAACTGTTTCTATTTCAGAATTTCACTGTAAAACTGAAAAGTGTACCTCTTGACGATACACAATCTACAAAAGGAGACAAATTATTTGTGAAATTTGTATAACTGATGCATTTTGTAACATATATTTTAAACATTGTATGTGTAAAAATCTGCAAACCATTTCTTTTAGATATTTATTTTTCTGTCTGGACTGTATTTTTTCTGAAACAAGTTATTGTCTATTGAAATATTGGTACTTCTTGCAAAAAGTTTACAGATTAGTAGGTAGTATTGAGCTTAGGAGAAAGACATTTCATTGCAAAAAGCTGTCATGCTGAAAATTGTCATAGAAAATGTCGCATTTTATAACTGCAGTGGCTCAACTTTTCTATATAGTTAAGCTGTCAGTCACTTCATAAACATGGCATTAGGTACTGTCACCAAAGCAGAAAAGAATAGATTCAGATTCTAAAAATCAAACTGTCTTCTGTTTTAAAAGAGTTAAATCATTATGTAAGACATAATCTTTACTCAGAACCCCAATAAAGTGCTCTGGGTAACTGTATTAGATGTATATTCTCATTTCCTGTTTTCCCACAGGGAAAAAAGTGGGAAACATTTTTCCATGTTGTATGTTGCTGAAGAACTAAGAAATAGAAAACCTTCATATGTACATACAGCTTGCTCTTTATGTCCCTCTTCAAATCAATAGCAAATCTTCCATTCATCAACAGATTTGACATATACAATGAGGAGTGAGCAGGTACACGTGACGGAGTGCTGCATGTTCTAGACTGTAAGTACTAACAACAAATTTAGTTCCCTTACCTCAGCTTTTTCATCATTTTAAATCAGTAAAAGTTAAAATGTTAACGTTTGTTTTAATTGCATTTTTCCTCTCTGCCCTCTATTTTCTATCATCAAAGCTTTGCTGATAACGATTTGCCGCCTTCTGCTTAAAGAAGCACTATTCCAGAAGGTTTTGCACTCCATACAGTCTGTAACACCATAACTCAATACCCCCACAACTGCATCATACTGTAAGACTAGTCTGATGGACTGGAAAATAGTGCTGTGCAAGCCAACCCGTACAAGTCAAGATACAGAAGCCTGGGCTCATTTCTCCATGTGGTCTCCCGAAAGACAACAGAATTGCCATAATATTTTCTTTTCATTTTAGTGATTCAGATCACAGCTCAAAACCATAAATAGCTGAACAGATAATGTCAAAGGAATTGAGAATTGCAACCCATGAACAAGTAGTTTAGAGCAGGAATTTCTTGAATCTGAGTCATCATGAAAGGGATTATATCACTGAATTACATCCTCGAACAAATATTCTCAAAATTAGTAGCGAAGAAACTAACTGGTTGCATTTACACATCACAGTATTAATTGGTAATTTTTTCAGTTAAATTTTTGTAATACAAAGTAAAAACTAATTTAATATCTTTGAAATGGTTTACTTACCTCATCTAAGTCTTTAATATAAACAATCTTCTCTTCAATACCAATAGGCATTGGTTCACTATGGGGGATCTTCACCTCTTCATACATTTTGTTGTTTTCTCTCTGAACTGCCTCTGGTAAGAACACCTAAAACAGTATTACAGGAAAATTAACTGAAAGTATGAAAATGAATCCAAAATAAAAGCAACTCTCATCGATTCATTTTACAGATAGCACTGAATTCAAAATGAAAATAATCAGTTTTACTACTCAGAAAATAGTCCTCAAAAGACAAAAAAGATAACTCCATTTTATTAAAATTCAAAAGCCATTAAGTCTAGAATTTCATAAAGCATTCATTTTGTTAAAGTCAATTCAATGGTTTCCAAAAGATAGAAAGAGAAAAATAGTATTTTAATGATTTAAGTGACCGTAGAAATAAAAACAAATACAGTAGTTGAAAATGAGATTATTTCTTCTAGAGTCAAAATAAAAACAGAATATATGAAAGTGTTTAAAACCCTCTGCAAAGAAGCACCGCTTCATACATTGGACTCTGCTAAGGAGGAGAATCTTTAAGAGAACAAAAGGAACCCTGCTGCACATTATTCACTGGGAAAGATGTACTATTCAAGACGGATCATGCACCAAAGACGTACCTTTGCACCCCCAATGAATGCTGATGTTTTCATAGCTTCAGCTCGGGAATCATAAACATGCGGATAATGAATTTTTTCGAAGTCCATCTCTCTCTGTCTACCTAGGACCGGCATACTTCGAGCATTCAAAAGTGCTAGTTCTCTGTGAGCAGAAAAATAACTGCAATAATTCTGCCCATTTTAGGCAGCCATCACAAAAACTGCATGTAGTATATTAAAGTCAGAGCAAGAGTTGTGGAAATTTAAGGAAAAAAACATTGCCTAAAGTAATTAACAAAGGAATTTTACAGCATTATCCTCTGGCATCAGTTAACTAAGTCCTTATAACACACTGTTTAGATAAAAATCAAAAATGCAATCCAATAAATACGAGGCTTTCCTAAATGCAGTTTTGCCTCTTTTTAAGCAATATAGCAAAACATGCATTCAAAGTTAAACACCAGTCCTACTATATTTTTCCTCAATACAACAGCTTATTTGCTCCTTATCCTCTCCCTCCCCTACTCCTCCCACTACCCTTAGCTGACAACATGGAAAATAGTATCCATTAATCTTGAGAGGAAAAAAAGAAAGATAGTTCTGATAGATTTAGTACAGACTTCATAAATCTTAAGCAAGTAGTGTGTGTACAGGAACCAAGAAAGATAGCCTACCCCTCTAATCTGCATCTCCAGCCCACATAGATGAGATCAAGAAGATTCTCATTAAGCAGATCACTGCTTTCTTTCCCTGAAAATTAGGTTTTCATATTAAAAAAAATTCTACACTTGTGATAAAACGTGACTTGAAGTCAGAATCACCTAATCACCAAAGCGAACTAAAAGAAAATAAACTATTATGATATGTTGAAATAGCAATTACAACAGAAGCATTTCTCAACTTTCGGCATTTATTACCTTTGCATCCGCAGCTCTTTGGGATCAAAGCACATTAGTCCTTCTCCAGAAATTTCTCCATCTTCCCCAGCTTGTTTTTCTTTTCTGGCATTTCGCTTTTCTTCCCGACGATATTGCTTCATTAACAGTTTTTCTTGTTCAGACTGAATTGTAACTTGACAACCATAATTGGGCTTAGCATTTTCTCCTATAAACTTCTTGCACTGTTCTGCAATATGATAACAGGTATGCATCTCCATAAGTACTGGATTCCATCTTTGTTTTCCCCAGTTTTCTTCTAAAGGTTTGTTTTCTGAGGTTTGTTTTCTTTTTTGGGGGTGGTGGTGTAGTGGTGTGTGTGTGTGTTTAAAGATAGTTTACCTTTATTTAGATAACTGTGCAGCAGTTGGTCTCAAGAAATCCAAAAGAAGTACCAGTTGAAGTAGTAGAAGTACCAAGGTAGGATGTTTAAAGTTACCATTGTTAAAAACATAAATTCTTCATCCCAAAGCAAGAGGATGGGCTAGCAGCAAAAGGAAGGGCTTTTTTTCTTTTCTGTATTTATAACTTCATCAACAGTGGAAATGCCACTTATCTTTCCTCTTATATGTATACACTGATGAGTAGAATGGTGTGAAAACAGATTAAACAGGCTGATTTTTTTAAACAGTCTCTTCACAAAACAATTAGTGTATATTTACTAGATAACATGATTGTATTGAAAGCATACTCACAATGTAATTGCCCTAAACAAGCAAGAAGAGAAATCCTATTCTACACAGCTACAAGGACTCCTTCCCTTTATGTAGAAAGCAGAAGAAGAATCAGAACCACAGAACAATTACAGTAAACAACTAATCTAGGGGAGCAGGGAATCCGAAAAAGCCCAGTCACATTCAGCCTTCCGAGGCCATTACTGGCCAAAACCAAAGACACAACCAAGTCTTTTATATGCAGTGGGATGGAGAGATTTGTTTTGTTTTTAACTATATCAGTGTTTTTAAACTTCTGCTTTCAAAATTCTGCAAACAGATTATTAGTTTATGTAGATTTCACTGAATATTATATACTTAATTCATTATGTTTCATATGTACTTTTGCAGTCAAACTCTGAAGCCGAAAACTTGAAAACTTTTTTTCATCAAACCCACCCACTTGACTGATGTTTTGAACAATTTCTGCTGCTTAGGTTTCACCTACAGTAACCGTGAAACTCCTACCTCTCACAGCATGCATACGAGATAAGGTGACTGTAACTTGTTAAATAGCATTGAAAAAATTCTAATAAACTGTCAAAATGTCCACATTAATACCATCATGTCTGTAGCTTTAGTGCTCTCTCTCTTGTATTAAAAAGGGACAACAATGGATGCAATTTCCTAACTAAATTTAATTCAGACTGAACACACCAGGGCAAAGAACTGTTACTTGATTTGTCTGATAAGCACAACAACCACCTTTACTGCCATGGAAGTAAATTACATAAGAAATAGTCAAATAACACAGCATGCTACAAAAATGCAGTACACGTACAAGTTCCTTGACTTGTGCTTATTTTCTCAAGACACAAATTACTCAAAGTTGACTAAATTTCTGCAGACACAAATTATTCCCTTCCCCAAATGCAATTCTGGAAAGATAAAACTTCAATCCCCATTAGAAATACCATTTTGATCAACTTAAAAGAAAAAAGCCTTATTAAAATTAATAAATGGAACTTGGGGCAGAGCATCTTCAATCTCAGAAAAGATACTCAAATATCATTGACTTCTTTACAACAGCGAAAGAAGGGTCCTCTCATCAGTGAAAAGAGCATACGATCAGTTATGCTTTCCTATTGTCTCAAAAGCACAACATTGAAAATATTCTTCCTCCACATTCTAGCAGAAATTACTGTGATAGACTTTACTGATGGCATAATGAAGAATAAATTCACAAAAGCTTCCAAAATACTACTTCTGCTAAGTGAGAAGAAAATATTTATGTAACTAAAATCTGCACATAGGAGAAAAACTGTAATAGTTCAGTTTCTACTGCATGTATTTTAAATTTTTTATTATTTGATTATTTCAGAAGGGAAGAAACACCAAGACACAAAACCTTGTTATACTGATAGCAAGACATCTATTTGTGATTTCAAAGCAGAATAAAACTAACGGTTGTTCCGATGAGTTTAGACTAACCATCAGCACAATAAGAGGTGAACTTCTAAACACTTGCGTATATAACATTTCATTTAAGATAAACATATTAAAAAACATTTGTTTGCATTTTAAAATTATTGTGAGGATACATAAGTCCACTATTACTAGTTTTATTCACATTTTTCTAACTTCATATGCTGTGAACATGCAATGGGCTGCATGGTGCTGTGTCCATGTAAGATTTATCCCAAGTCACAACCTATTTATTTTTGTCAGAGGAGAAAGTGAGAAGACTTGTTTTCAAACAGCAATTTGTAAAACAGATTTTAAAAGAATCACTCTGTGCAGGCAATTTATCTTATAAAAACAAAAATCATAGTATAAAACCCGAACCCCTTTTTTCCTCTCACTTGTCTATCCTTAAGCTTCGATTTTTTTTTTTTTTCAGAAGTGGTTGTTACAGTGCTTTTTCTCCCCAAGACCTACATTTGGTGATAGTACAGAAGTAGAGAGTAAGCAGGAAAGCAGATGAGGAATAACCAAAGATCAACTTATTTCCAGAGTAATCAATTAAAATAGATACAGTGCAACAGTTAATACATTTAAAAAATACACATGCCCATAGGCAGTTGAAAAGTAAATAAATATACGCAATACTTACTTGTTTCTTCTGTATAACCAGACCATGATTTCTTTGTTTAAGCCCATATAAATATCCCCCCCCCCTTTTTTTTTTTGCTTGCTTTTTAAATACACACAGACAGCACTGTTGTTTGAAATATAACTGAACAGTTAGAAAATTACTTTTTATCTGGTTTGGAATAAAAATTCTGTAGTCGTTTACCTTGCAGAGTCTGGAACCTGTTATCATTTGGACAAGTCAAAGATCTTTCCAGAATCAAAGATCTGTTCTGTAGGAGTTTCTCTATGAGTTCAAAACCTTCAGGGCCTAGCAGTTCAAATAACTACAAAGAAAACAAAGTCATAAGTCATTGTCCAAATTCATGTAATTTTATAAATAGGACTACAATATTTAAACAGATTAATGAACTTCGGCTCCAAGTAACTCAACCCAAAATATATCTTTGCTAGTATACAGGCAGATTGTCGATTACAAAAAGGGAAAATTACAGAAAGTTTTCAGCTGGAAATATTTAAAATCTGTGAATTCTGTCTATTAAGTAAAACTCAATTTCTCTTAGAGATTCTTGTATGAAAAATTTATCAAGACTAAACTTCATGTGTTTTCCTTTATGGTTATTAACATAAACTATGCTGCAAATTTATTCCTCCACAATCTAAGCTGATAAATCAAGGGAACCAATGCTTTCTCATAAAAGTCAGATAATAGGAAGTTATTCCCATTCCAGAAAAAAAAAAAAAAAATAACAGATGGGGGGGAAGACAGGAATCTGAAGAAACAATTAAGACAACACTAGTATCGACTTCAGTCTGTATTCCTTGCACATATAATGCTGTGTGTGTAAGCGTGTGCAATTCAAACACATGATGTAGGTGATGTGCACCAGAACAGGATTCCATATCAGTAAGCACTATTTTGGCCCAATGATTCTCTTACTCAAATGATTCTCTTGTAGCAGGTTAGATAAACACAGTTCCCTATTTAAAGCTCCCTCTTCCACATAATACTGTTTTTAATGGAAAAAAACCCCACCCAAAACATTAAAAGAACTTCCCTGTCCATTGTATCCATAATTATTTTGTCAAAAATCAAAGCATTACAATAGAGCAGTAAGTTATTCGGAACCCATTCTTGATTTTTAATACTACTTAAAACAATTTTTCTCCATTTTTTTCAATTTCTGAAAAGGAAAACAGGGCAGTTTCTCCTTGGTGCTCTTTAAGTTTGCTGCTGCTATTATTCATACAACTTCAGGTATCAGATAAGAATAAAAGTTATGATGTACTTTGATCTGATATTCTATGAAAGAGTAAGACTTCGGCACTGTAGGATTCAAGTATGTCTGTTCTAACTATAAAAAGGAGAGAGAGGTCTCTTACTGTCCTGTATTTAATTTGCCAACTCCTTAACAGAGAGTTTTTCTGTGGCTGTCTCTGACTACTGCCCTCTAGGAACACCTCGAAATAACTTTTTGCTGTCTTTTCATATATTTGCAAAATTTTGAACAGTACCAAGGGCATCAGATCAATGACCCCTTTTTTCAGGCCAACCTGTACTTCATAATGTAAGCTGTCAAGCTGTCACTTAAAAATAAAAAAAGAAGAAAAAAGTGTTACTCCTGGCCCTCTGGGTTTCTATGAAAAACATAAGGTTTGTGCAAATTAGTACAGTCATTGCAGAGTTTGCAGAGACCGTGAAATAACAGCTCTGAAATGTATAAAGTCTTGTATTTCTTTCATTAGAGTAACCAAAGATGGCAAATTGAAGAAGCAGTCTGCCAAAAAAAAAAAAAAAAAAAAAGAAAAAAAAGAATGCAATAAATGTGGACAAATAGAAAATTCTATACTTGGATAGAAGAAATGAACTACAAAAATACAGGACAGGGAACTGCTAGCTTGATGTCAATTCTGCTGTCAAGAATCTCAAGCTATGATGAATTTCTTTTATCCAGCCTTCACTACCAATGATTATTAGTTCTTGTCTTTTGCATAGCTGTTCACTGTCACTTTACCGCTAATACTATCTAAAGATATAAGACGACCTTGTTTTCATATTTCAAAAGAAACTGGCAAAGTAGTACTGGTAAATTTGAGGAGTGGGTATTTTCCAAGGGTGAATGCTTAAGGCAGGGAGAGAAAGCAATTACAAAAAAAAAAAGAAAAGAAGTGTATTTGAAATAGCTTAATTGTATAAAGAACTGACTACAAGCTTGCCTCAACTTTGCTAACGTCCTGTTGACTGTGATCCCTGTGACCAGCAAGACAGGGAAATGAAATGCTTTCAGTTCAGCGAGATCTGGGCTTAAACACTAGCTTCTCATCCACGCAGCACACACAATGTAAGTATATTCAGACTTACCATGTTGCCCCCCAAAAGCCCCCAAAACCAAACAAACAAACACACACCACCACCCCATCACCCCCAGAAGGCAAACAACACATTAGCCCTAAAACATTCAGTGTAGACCTTCAGGTCTGCACAGGACTCCAAAGCATCTCTATCACTAGAAGCTATTAAGAACAAGCTAGAAAAGCATCAATCAGAAAAGATGAGTTTTGATGGGGAAATAGATGACACTGTTTTTTGGAACAGGAAGGTATTTTTCCACTCCTGTTTTCCCAATATATTCTGAAACAAAAACCATCCATACCAAAACTATTTCAACCAATTAGAACAGCAGAGCCGTACAAAGAAGCAGTAATGTTACACAACGCATTCTACTTCATGGCCAGAAGTCATGAAGTAAAAACAGTATCACTTACTCTGTCCCCAGTGAGCTAGGGGCTCAAAAAAAGAGTACCAAGGTGAAACTGAATATCCTACTCTCCAGACAGCCTACTAGTCAAAGAGAACCGAACCCACAGATTATTACACATGACAGACTCTGCAACGCTCATGTGCTAAAAGTCACTCCATTTTGCCTTCTTGATCAGTGGATGGAGTGTGGTATTCATTTGCTACCAGCAGTCTGAGAACTGTCTATATCACCTAAATAATCTTGCTGCTGTCTGAAAAGGAAGGAGGCTTTCAGAACATTTTAAACAGCTAAGACAGACTAAGCTGATTGTTCAAGACTGAGCGGAAAAAGCTAAAGAATACAGAAGACCAGAAGCAATGACCTTGTTCTTATTGACAAGATGTACCCCATGCGTACTAGAAGCTTGCCAGAGATCATGGGTGGAAAACAACCATTGAGAGCTAAACCAAGACAGAAGTGCTGAGAGATGGAGAACAAGTTAAAGAGCAAGATCTGTCACCACCTACCACTGATGGTAGAAATGGTGACAATGGTAGAAAAAGTTTGCAAAGAGCAGAAATAACTAAACTTGAGGACTTGTAAGACCAGTACGTTATTAATCATCAGATTTGTTCAATACTATAGGAGTAATCCACTGCTTCCTAATTAAAGTATTAAGAACTACCACAGAATGCTCCTGTGTCAAAGTGCAATTCTTTATCTTCTCATTTGTTTAGACTTCCAAAAACATGTCAGGGTCCATTCACAAGGCTTTCTACCATTTCAGAAAAACTTTAACATTCGTTGGCATTTTTATGCCTAATTTTCAAAGTAATCAACAAATTAAACAACCTGAAATTCTATAATGATAGACATCGTTAAAGATCTAAGCAGCAACTGAACCCTAGGGTAACTCATGAAAACCAGTATGACTTGGAGAGAAAACACCACTTGTTGGGATCGAACTTCAATAAAGTGAATGCTGAGTCTGACATCTTCAGAAATAGCACAAAATTTGCTATCTTAAAAAAACCTTTCCACTGTAAGAATTACATTTTTAATATTAATTGTCACACTACCCAATAACCCTGGGCCAAAGTTTGTAAAAAGTAACCACCTCACTACTGCAATCAGTCTTACACTGGAAAGCACTTACACTTTATAGTCACAGGTTGACTGTATAAATCAAAGAGCAGGAAAGAGAAAATTAGGAGCTGTATTGAATTGCCTTATGCCTACCAGGAGATATGAAGCCCCAAGGCACAGAAAACATCTGACCAAGAAATAAAGTGGCCTTCTTTTGCCAGGACATATCTTTCCTATAGTAGTTTTATTTTTGATGGTATAAATTGAAGTTATCAACATAGGCTGGAGTGGCTGAACCTACAGTGAAAGAGCAAAATCCTCAACACCCTCCAGTACCTACTAAATGCTGATGCAGTCCTGACTGCCACAGGTCAGTCTCATGCCTGGATGTTCACCTGGAAGCAGAATGCTAAAGTGACTGCTTACTAAAGTTGCTTTGCATGCTGATTTACAAAAAATAAACGTATTACTTGTCACAGGAGGCTGTGTCATTTTCTAACGCACAGAACAGGCTTCCTCACGACTGTGTTTAAGGTGATTGTCCTACTACTCTGCAGAATATGTCCATAAAGAATCAAACTCCACAAACAGTAGTGAAAGAAAGAGGAAAATAACAATTTATGTAAAATGGAAAGCTTAAGAAAGTTATGAGGCAAGTTGTCAATCCTACCTACTCTTAACCCTCTCCAAGTGATCAAGCACTAACCCCCAATGAGCTCTATTGCTCCTTTGGATAAGTATCTAGTGTAAGCTGCACAGAAATTCCGAATATTCACTACAGAAAAGGAGAACTTCAGAAGTTTTACACTGTTGAGAAAAGAATTTCAGATACAACATTTTGCTTCTAAACATTTTGCTTTCTCTTCTAGAGAAGAAAAGGCAAATTGAAAAACTGTAATGCACTGCTAGCAATTTACGTAGCTTAAGAGGCTAATTACTATGTTTCATTCCAAATGAAAAGCTTTCCATTAATCAAATCCAGGAGTTAGCAGGGTCATATGCAATCCAACAGTCCGTACGATGAAATTTTTAGCATTCAAATGCCAACTAGAAGCAATGAATCTTAGAAGGACAGTAAGGCTGGGGACCATGTTGATGACAGCCCAACGGTAGCTTTTAATGAAAATATTTCAAAGAACTTGCTGCTACTCTGGTAATTTCTTCAACACTTTCTTAGCATCATACTTAGTTCTAACACACTGAGCTTCCGCCCCTCATCTCAAGTGCTCATTCCAAAAAGGGGACAATAGGGTCATTTATGCTTGAAATAAAGGTGGTGCAGGTTTGAATGGCAGACACGTGTTCCTGGCACTTGAGCCTGTAACTTGAATGCTGTTAATGACTTCACATGGCTGATGGAAAAACATTAAACAATGTGTAACGCTGCATGTAAAAAAAAAAAGATTAAATAAATAGGTTCTCAGACCAATAGTTACCCAGATCATGACCCTTTCAGGACAGCCTGGTAGGAAAAAACTTCTGTGTAATCTTGTTTGCAA